CCAAAATTAACTTAAAAAGTTTGTATAAACATATCGGATCAATCTATAAATAATATAGTGGCAATCACAAATACCGCGTACGTAAACGGGAGTATTTCACATTTTTCACACTAAGAGTTAAGTTAAGGATTTGTATTTGTTTCAACTTTAATATGTTTCTAATAAAAGGATCTTACAGCGTCTTTGATTTTATAATCATTTGATACGGGGTCCATAAAATAAAATACATTTGTTGATGGGTGATGGTACCATTATCTTAAAAGTTTATGAATCCCTGTCTAAGGGTATAAGTACTCAAAAGGAGCTTCAAAATGAGGTATCACATAACCCCTATTCAATTAAAAAAAAACCGTCTAAGATGGCGCCCAGCCGCTATCCAGAAATTTTCAACTATCACTTTTACGTTAAAATACAGGGTGTAAACGTTTTGATAGTCATTATTTAAATGGGTGATAGAGGGGGTTAAAAGAAACAAAAAGTTTCTTATAACATGGGGGTCAAAACGGTATTTTTGAGAGAAAAGCGACTTTAAAGTAAAATAAATCTGACAACGCCACAAAACTACGCAAAAGCATAACTAAATATTCAATTTAATGAAACTTACTTTCTTACTAACTACAAATTTTGGCTTAACTTAGAAAAACTTAATGCCATTTATTTGTTAACTACCCAATTTGAAAACGTTTTAGATTAGATTATAAAAATTAGTAAGATTGTGGTCGATATAAAACACTTAAAGTTGTAAACTATAAAGTCATTTAGACAAAAATCTATTGACTTTTGGACTATTTGTCATATGAACTTTTTGACTTGTTTTGACCCCCCTATTACCCATTTCAATGTCTACCATAACGTTTACACCCTGTAATGCGTCAATTTCAGTTCACTAACTTGGACCTTTCAGAAAATATTACACGGGGGGGGGGACCTTTTTGTAAATAACTATATATAACACCAAAAGGAAGTAAAATGAATTATTGAAAGCAGTAAGGTTCGAAGAATACCAAGAAACAAAATTATGTGCTTGGACAACAAATCCAAAACCATGTGGTCGATTTCTAATGATGAACAGGCAGTAGGTACTCATAAAAAATGGGGGACTGGGGTGTTTAGGGCCATCTTGGGCAATTATACTTACCTATGACCTCCTAGCTATGGCACCAGGGTATTAAGACTGGAACAGCAGATATCCCAGCAAGCATTGTAAATATTGTTTTTCCAGGTATCAAGTAAATTAACCTTATAAATAATGGTTTTGATGGAATTAAAGGATGACACATAAGACCCGTGTATAAGGAATGAATGATTGAATGAATCTTGAAATTAGATGCATTCCGGCCACCATAAGGAGCCAGTGCATAGGCTGCTTAAGCGGGCCCTTATGCACCTCTACAATCCTTAGATCACAAGCCTCGCCCTTTTAGCGAAGTTGAGAATCGCCTTGAGTCGCTCCTTGACGTCCTGAGGGTCCAAAGTAATGGACCCCAGTATAGTCTGCCTATAGTAGCTCAGAGCTTCACAGCGTCACAAAACGTGCGCCGAGGTCTCTTCCTCTACCCCGCAGCGTTCACACAAGGGATCCTCAGCCACCCCCATCACGTGCAGGTGACGCCTTAACGTATTATGGCCAGACAACAGTCCTACCAGCAACCTTAGGTTGGCTCTATCCAGAGATAGGCAGAAGCGCCCATGCTTAGCACTGGGGCCTTCAATGAGTTCCCGTGCCTGACGGAGATACTTCTCCATTTCTGAGAGTGTTGTCTTGCAACCCACGTCTCCATTTTCCTCTTAGCTTTATGCGCGGTCACTCCTAGAGCTGGATCAGGACCAAAGAGCTTGCTGGCTGATCCTGCCTTCGCCAGAGTGTCCGCCGTCTCATTGCCCCTTATCCCAGCGTGCCCCGGTACCCATATTAACGATACCGGATGCCTCGCTGCGAGGCAATCCAGAGCCTTCCTGCATTGCAATACAAGACTCGAAGTAATCTTACAGGCACTTAGTGCTTTCATTGCAGCCTGGCTGTCGGATAAGATTGTTATTCTTCTCCTAGGCCCACCCTCCTCCAGAATGTGAGATACACAAGCCAGAATCGCAAAGACTTCCGCCTGGAAAATAGTGGTGTATCTACCGAGAGGCAGAGATGGCCTAGTTCTAGGCCCAGAGACCCCAGCACCTGAGACCTCTTCGGTGACCGAGCCGTCCGTGTACCAGACCTGCCCGCTCACTCCGGAGGGTCCCCGGCTACCAGCGTCCCACTCCTCCCTCGTTGGACACTCCACAATAAATTTGCGGTTGAAGCGATATTTAGGGGTAATACGATCACCGCTTACGTCATCAGCATAGGCTTGCACGTAGACACCCATACTGCTGAGCCTAACGAGGAGTTCACCACGATACACCACAGTAGGGGTGACAGAACTCCGTCCTGAGGGCAGCCTCTAGCTACGCTCACGCTGCAGCTTACGTCATTCAGCATAGCTGTTGCTGCCCGACCCTCCAGAGTAGATAGGACCCAATCTATTAGGATTGATCCAACCCCGTGTCTAACCAAGGCATGTCTGATAGAGTCGGTTGTGGTGCAATTAAATGCACCTTCAATGTCCAAAAAGGCCATGAGTACCACTTCTCGCTAATCTAGAGTCTTCTCCAGCCTACCGACCAGATTGTGTAAGGCCAGATCAGTCGATTTTCCATCTTGGTATGCAAATTGATTTGCATGAATGACACACCTTTCCAGCGGGCCATCCCTTAAGTATCTATCAACTATCCTTTCCAGTGTCTTAAACACAAAAGATGAAAGAGTAATCGGACAAAAATCCTTCGGGCCAGTATATCTAGCTCTGCCCGGTTTAGGAATGAATACCACTTTAGCCTGCCGCCAGCTTCTAGGTGTGAAGCCCGTGGCCACACATGCTCGAAACATATTCAACAGGTGAGGAACAACCGAACTCCGTCCCTGCTGTAACAAGGCCGGAAATACGCCGTCCAGATCTGGACTTTTGTATGGAGCAAACGAATCTACTGCCCATACCGTCCTTTCGAAGGTGACAATCTCCCTAGCCGTGCGCCAGTCCTCCCCTGACGGCCTACGCAACTGCATGCACTCTGTGATTGATCGCGCTACTCTGGAACCCCCCCCCTATCATATACCAATACACCTGTTACTCTTGTTCCAAATTATTCGAGCTTACTATATGCGCAAACAAACTTTGATTTTTTGAATGAATGTAATATTTAAAAAAAATTCAGACAAACGTCAATTTTTCAGTTCATTGCTAAAACTTGTAAATTTCTAGAGTTGCGAGTTAGTTATAGGTGTATTTTTGTATCTATAAAAAGTTTAAGACTGTGCGAATCCTGAACTTCTGGTGAAAAAATGTTCATGATATAAGAGAGGGAAACACATGTAACTTTTTCAAAACTTATGTAACTGGAAGAGAGCACAGAGTTAAGGTGACAAGAAATGGTAAGTCTGAGTTCTCCGATTGATATGGCGATTCAACAGGTCAGTAAAGCGGGACCGATTCTATTTGGAGTATTTCTCAATGACCTTCATTCTACAGCAAGCTCAGATAAAGAAGCCTCCACATGTTATGCAAATGACACAGACCTTATTGTATTGGTTAAATCTGAATCATATACTGATATATTACAACAAAACAAATACTTTATTTTTAGAACAAAATAATGCAAGATTGAAAGACCACAAAAAATCAAATTCAAGCGGATAACCAAATTAAAATGGTATTTACCATTTTGGGTTGGTATTTACCGATCCGTTCAAGCGAGTGTGGTTATCAGACTGGTTATATGATCCGTGACGTCCTGAATCAGCTGTTATATGTCACAGTTATCACCGCAAAATTGTGGTATTTACCCAACTCAGGAGTAGTTTTATATTTCTGGTTATTATTTGAAATGTGACAAGTTAGAATTTTGCCGGGTATTGGATATTGTTATTTTACTTCATAAAGTGGAGCACCTTATTAGTTATACTCATTACTGTTGGGAACACTTTCAATCTAGTTCCTATGTTTAACAAAGTATCCTGTGTAGCCATATACCACAAGAATATTAAAATATGGCCATTTAACTCACTGGATGATGTCCACCTGTATACGGTTTTGCTAATATCTTTTTTGATCATTTCTGCTAAATCAATAGATGTTTTCTTTGACATGCGGAAAACTTTAGAGAATTGAAAGTTATCATAGCTACAAAACCATAGTTCCTTCATTAAAAAAACATTTCTCCCACGAATATTATGAAAGGTTTCTTATTTAAACTTTCCATACACCGTTATAGACAAAAAGCACCGATTATGAAGTGATAATAAAAATAATCAGAGATTATATACGCACTTTTCTAAAATAAACAACTTGCAACAAAACCGCGGTTAAAACCAACGCGTGTAACTGACGTCATCAACCCGTGTGTCATCTTGAACCATATTATAACCGCGGCACAAAACACAGAAATTTTGGTTATTCGCTTGGATTTGATTAAAGTGTATGCATTCTTATAACCGAGGTAAATGTTTCAGAATAATCCAACCTCTTATGAGTCTAATCTAGGTGAATTCCTGGATTGGTCATGTCATCTCACTTGCCTAATTTATGTTAAATCCACTTTGCTATAGAATTAGGGTGGATTGTATTGTATATATATGACTGAGAACGCTTTGACGATAATTTATTTTGCAAATTTAGAAGATATTCGAATATTTGGGATTAGAGAATTAAGGGCTATAGAATGATTGAATTTTAATTATAGCCCAAGGCGTTTTCAAATCATATGGAATTTATGAATGTCTAATGCACTGTTTTAAAAACAAACATGTTTAATTTGCGTACTTACCACGGATACAACATGAGAACCTTCTATGTTAATTTCCTGAAACAGTGGGAGACTCACTCAGAAAAGTACTAGTTGTATGAGCCTCAAGTTGCATGACATTGTTAGATGATGTAAAAACAATAAGCAGTATCAGACAACTCAACTCTTGAATAGAGAAATATATATTTGACATAGAACTATATGCATTACAAGATTATGTAGGCAACAATCGGTATTAAAAATATGTTTTAAATCAATAACTCTACAAAAAATCTACAAATTTCGATCAAATGAAAAACTATTCTGGTTTAATCCCTCAGAATGTAGCGTCGATTACGCATTAGATCGACCAGATTAAATAATCAGGATCACAAAAATGTTTCAAGAATTTAGTTAATCCTTTTTACAATAATGAATAGTACACTTTTAGGGAATGTGCAAACTGTATGAAATGCGGTAATAATAATCCTGTACATTAGATTTACAGGATCATTCAGTATTATTATTATAAATTGAGATATATGTTGCACCCATAAACGCTGATGAACATCAGTCTGGATTTCATATTATTTCTTGTTGAAAAGTTAGATTAAGTAATGATAGGTTAATTAAATTTATAAATACACTTCATAAGTGCAACAATGCAATATAATAAAATAGTTTATTTGACCATAATTTTCAAACACAACAATAAATTATTAAATAAAAATAAGTTAAATACTGATATAACAATTAAGTAATCCAATTTAATCTTTAACAGTATTTTTAACAACCTATTTTGCATAAACAATTATAACTCTTTTTACTGTGATCATTAATTTTTTTTCATATCTATCACTTTTATCACAAGGATATGAAGATTTCGAAAAGAGCAAATTATATTTTTACAAGTTTTCTAAATTTTGTTGTTATAAAAAATTCTATAAGCATCCAAAGAAAAAAACAAAATATATTTCATTTATTTTTTCCACCCCAGTAGTCTTCACTTTGCATTTCAGTCAGCCTTGATACAGTTCTATCAAACGCAAAAATCTCTTCATCGCCTGTGAAAATATTGGCAGACAAATCTTGGTCCCCAATTTTCAAATCATCCATTAACATTCGCTGGTCATCTGTGATACTTTTGTCCCTATTTTCTGGCACAAAAAATAATTCTTTTATAGGAGCATCAGCTGTTATGATGACCTTTGTTTGGTTATCATATAAAGCATCTATAAGAGTTATGAAACGTCTTGCCTCAGACCTCATTAAAGTGAGATCAATTCTAGGAATATCTCTGATAATAATTGTGTGGAAAAATTGTGTCAAGTGAAGATAGTCATTAGCTCCAAGGGCTCTCACACACAATTCTTCGAAGTTAGTATCTAAAGCACCTCCACAAGCTTTTCCAAATGTAACATTCCTCCCTAGAATTGTAAAGGTTCTGCTCCTCACAACATCATTTTCTTTTGCAATTATGGCTTTAAAAATTTTTTCTACTGGATCTAGCTTATATTGTGACTTAATAAAATAATTTGTCTTTGCACCAATTGATTTCAGCCTGTAGTCTATTCCTGAGTCTAAAGTAGCTACATTACAGTGTTTCTTTAACACATCTATAAAAGGTAAGAAGTTTGATCTCTGTAAACCATTTTTATATAAATCATCTGGTGGTCTATTGCTGGTGGCTACCACAACAACTCCATTGTCAAATAAATGTGTAAAAAGTCGTTTCAGAATCATTGCATCTGCTATATCTGTAACTTGAAACTCATCAAAGCATATTAACCAAGATTTTTCTATGATTCTATCAGCTACTGGAGGAATAGGATCAAAAGGTTTTGGTTTTCGTTGTGAATAATCTACTACAATTTCCTGTTTTAATTCATGCATTTTCTTATGTACTTCTATCATAAATGCATTGAAGTGTACTCTAGTTTTTGATTTTATTTCTACACTATTGTAAAAGAGATCCATCAACATTGTTTTCCCTCCACCAACTGCTCCATAGATATAAAGCCCTTTGGGAGCTTTTTGTTTATTGCCAAAAATGGTATTAAATAATCCCCTTTTTACTGGTTTATAGTGCTTTATATCCTCATATACTGTTTGTAAGTTTTCAGCAATTTTCATTTGGACATCATCTTTCTGTAACTCTTTGGCACATATCTTCCTTTGCAAAATATCTACAGGGCCTTCAGATGGGATATTGTGTTTTACCTTAAGAGAATAGTTTAGTTTTGAAATAAAAGCTGAGCTACATCCTTTGACTAAGTTACTATTTAAAATTTTCAAGTCTGCTCTAGCCATTTCTTATCCTGCAAGAAAATAACACTCACCTAAGATTACCACCATTAATTTTATATCGATATCTTACCTATTTTAGTAATAGATCGTTTATGAATGAAAATTTCATTCTCATTACCGTTTTATCTGCATTTTTTGGTGGTTTACGTAATTTTAATGGAAATTTTGATTACCTAACCTAATAGTACATTTTGTGGCCTTTGCAATGAACTGTCAACACTGATGGAACATGGAACCAGTGTTGCCAGAGCGAAGTTTAAAATATCCGTCACACGTATCGCAAAATTCCGCTACATGCCGCTACGGTCTAAAAATTTAAGGGGGGGGGGGAAAGCTTAAAATAAACAACAAATATATTTTTTACATATTTACTTTTTTTTTAAACACTATCTAAAAACCCTACTAAAAATAAAACAGTAACACAATATAATTGCAATTTTTCGTAAAAACATAAAAAGTATACCTCTAAAAAACAAAACTGTCTTTGGTTTAGAATTAGGAACTAATAAAAAAATAGAAACTATCACCAATATCTTAATCTTAATAGAAAAAAAAAAACAAAAAATAAGGACAAAGAAAAAGCGGAAACGTGGAAATGCCTACGTTTGCTTATTTTATTCACAGTCAGAATCAGAAATTACTTCTTCTTCAGCTTGTTCTTCCTTATTTACATTATATAAATTCTTTTTATATTTGTTTAAATGATTCTCATTAAAACCATAGGATAAACAGCACTGTTTTTTTGATTCCAAGTCTAATTTAATTGTAAGTAGTGCAGACAAAGTTGATGGTATTATTTTATTACTTTTTTTTGTTTGTAATCAAGCATATAAGAAAAAGTTTGCTCAACATCAGCGTTTCCATGAGGCAATGTTAAAATGATTAGAGCCAGTTTACCTATATTGCGAAACAAATATTCGTCATTAAAATTTTTGAGGTCGTTTACAAACGACCAAAATTCAATGACATTACTTTTTGTTTTTAAAATTTCCTCTTTCTCACTATCACTAAAATAAATACATATTTTCTTTAGTTCCAAAATTGCCTTTTCGGTTTCAATATGAAGGGCAAATTTTTTTAAAACGGCGTCATGAAAGGTATCACTTATAATAAGACAATTGTTCATCACATCAACCGGTGAGAGAAACTTTAGCTCTGAAAAGAAGTTGTCTTTGATAGGAAATCTTTTAAGGGACTCTTCTACCGATTTTTGGTAAAATGTGACACATTTTAATTTAAATTGTTCGATTGCCGTGTTATTGCATCCATTGTATGCGGACCAACATTCACTTGTTCAATTGGTAATAAGCAGTGGGGATCATTAGGATTTAGATTATATAATTTCTCATTTTTAAAATATTCTGGTCGCATAAAGTTTGTACATAGATGACGTACAAATCGCTCACTCTCTATTGATATGATATTGAGCATAACTTTCTCTGATTGAAAGAGAGCATTAAATTGGTTAAAAATGGGCAACACGAATTAAAAAAAACATTAAATACGCCTTAACAATTGGATTCTGTAACTCATTAAGTATTACATTTGCTACAGGATTTTTGTCTTCAATGGAAGCTAATCTAAATAGGCTAAGCAAGATGTCCCACTGATCCAAAACTCTATCAACACATTTGGATAAAGCAAGCCACCTTGTTTTACTAGGGCTTAAAATTTTTAATTTTGACTTTTTGAAATATTCCTGTAATTCTTCAAGAACACACTGCCTTTTTGGGCTTCTTGAGAAGTAAGAATATAATTTTTGTAAAAGAGCTTCAACGTTGTTTGGAATCTTTTCAGCTGCCGTCACCGCCACTAAATGAGCAGAGTGGCAAAGGCAGCCATTGACAATTATATTAGGATTATCTTTTAAAAGATAAGTTTTGAAAGATTCGTTATTGCTATAACACTAGCGTCGTCGGAACAGTATCCAACAATATTGGTAATTTTTACTTGATTGGATATAACGCATTTTTTAAAAAGAGAATATAAACCTTTGGCGGTACCTTCATCTGCGTTTATTTTAATTACATCTAATAAATGGGTTTTAATTGAATGTTTATGAATATACCTTACAAGAATGCATAGTAGTCTTGTATTGCTCAGGACTGTACTCTCATCCAATAAAATAGAAAATGGTTTATTTTCCAATTCTGAAATTATTTCGTCTTTAATAACAGGAGCCAGCACATTTTTAATTATACTTATGCATTTGGATCTTTTTAATTTAAGTGAGCTAGAGAGATCTGGGTCTTTAAAACATAATTGACTAACTCCTGTTATATGATCAACAGTTCTAAAACTTATATAATGACTTACAACTAAAAGACTATATCTTAAGCAAGCAAATATTTGCCGTTTTTCCAACTCACGTGCTTCCCGAGACTGAAAAGTGCTATCTAACGTTCTTACATTCGAAATTGCTTGTACATTAGTGGCATGCCTTTTTGATTTCGAATGATTCACTAAATCTGATTTTTTAGCACCCATTATTTGATTACAAGCTTTACATTTTGCTTTCAACTTGTCATTTTTAATAGGTCCCAACCAGCCTTTAAATAACGGATCTTCTAGCCATGATGAAGTAAACATTTGTTTTCGTGTCTTTTTCTTAACAGGTTGCTCTGGCTCTTGGTTATCCTGAGATTCGCAAGTCGAATTATCAGGCTCAGACCTGATTCCACTAGATTCGTCTGTATTCAGGTTCGGGATGCTCCGAGTCCGACACAGATGCAGTCGAAGTGGATGGTACGGCCACGTTTGGTTTCACCGTTTGTTTTTTAGAAGGATTTTTATCAAAAAAATCGTTAATGGTCTGCTGTCGCCTTTCCATTATTCCTATTTTCCAGAAGAAAAAGCGTTAAAAACAAATTTCGCGACTAAGATTTATTTCTGGATCTAACTATAATATGTTAGATATTTAAGCAGTTTTGTTACTTACCAGTAGATTTAATATTAAAATCTGCAGCAAATGATATATCAATAAAATGATCAACACAAAAATAAGAACACTAATATAAACGAAACTAAACAGTATATACCCAGAGCTGAAAAATACAATACAAAGCGAGAAACCTAATATTATGTGATTATGTCTGCCTGCTGAGACCTGTTAGAAACGATTAGTATTGAAAGCAGTACGTACGCCATCTGTTATTGAAAAAAAAGGCAAGTGGAATAATTCTCTTCTCTGTTCCTAGATGGCTCAAGCGGCACCAAATGCACCAATTTTATTATTAATGTGATAATAAATCAGACTCTAGCCACTGCCTATTTAGGATTTAGAACGTTATTAACGTTAAAACAGTGAAATAAATATGATAGTTTTGTATCTAATAAATCCCGCTACATTTTGGGCTAATTTGCTTTACCGCCGCTACGCCGCTCTTCTCAAAATAATCCGCTATAAATAGCGGAATTCCGCTACGTATGGCAACACTGCATGGAACAGGCGAATTCATTGCGGCTAGAATGAGAAACGAGGATAGCGCTAGTCAGGGCAAAACATCGAGGTCCATTGTGGTATTTCCATATATGTTCTAAGGATTTTTGGTGAATGTTTGTTTTTAGTGACGTTAAAGATTAATAGTGATAGTTTGCGACAATTATTATAAACGTTTTTATGCCGGACAGCCTTCAAGAGCTGTTGTTTTATGTCATATTTGTTTAAAAATGGTTGAATCTTGCAGTGCGGTGAATTGTTGCAATAGACGCAGAAGAGATGTGAAAATGAAGTTTCACAGGTTGGTTTTAATCATTACCTGTTAATTGCTAATTCGAGAAAATGTCTGGATTTTTAGGATACCTACAGATCCTAACATGAGGAAGTTGTGGTTACATGCTATAAAAAGTCCATGGAAATAAGGTACTAAAAAAGCTGGCAGTTCCATCTGTGTTTGATTTTCCAGCCCATCTCAAGAAAGAACCTAGCCATCGATGGGTTTTGAAAAGAAAACATGAATACATAATTTCTAGAATGAACTATGGTATAACCTGTATTGTATTATAATGAAAAACTGCATCTACAGTATTGTTAATACCATTGTGCACAAATATTTTGTATACGTTATATATATATATATACAGGGTGGCCAAACACGTGACATCATAAAAAAAAAATTAGATTCCCCACATCGAGAGGAACCCAAATCACCCCCATATATATGGTCCGATTTTGTTTAGTTTACGAGTTATGATTTTTTTTCGGATTTTTCGAGAATTTTTGAGTTCTGTGTTTATTTTTACCATGACTTCGTTAATAATTGTGATAAATGCCTGCTTTTTTCACGATTATGTAGCTAAGACCTAAGGCTTAACTATCATATAATCATTCAAGTCATGTAACTAATACTACTTTTTAATTTTTTTCAAAATCTTCGAACATAACAAAAAAGTAAAAAAGTGCAACAACTTTGAACGTTTATAAAAAATTGAAAAAACATGTTCTTACTATTCGTAAGTATCTTAAAAACTCCCTTACGGTATCAGCTATTTACCGTAAAAATTTTATCAACCTAGCTTTACTACATGCTACCGTAATTGTGGCTCAAATAGAACCGAACCCAAAATTGGATAACCCTCTGCTCAATAGAAATTGTTAGTTTCGGAAAAAAAAATTACAAAAACCACAAAAACACGTTTGATTTTTACTGAACAGCAGATTATTATTCATTTATGTTATTTACAAGAGGTTTTCAAAATGTCTGCCTCTAACAGAAATGCACAGTGTACACCTACGTATGAAATTTTGTTTTAAATCTCTAAATGCTTGTGTGTTGTTTTTCAACACATGTGTCGCTTCTTGAATTTTGTTCCTCAATGAATTTTCATTTGCACATTCTTGGGCGAATGTTATGTCTTTAAAATATCCCCAAACAAAAAAATCAATGGGGTTGAGGTCAGGGGAGCGTGGAGGCCATCGTATCGGTCCGTTTCGTCCGATCCATCTGTCTGGGAACCTTTCGTTTAAGTAGTTTCGCACGATCGTTGCGTTGTGGCATGGTGCACCATCATTCTGGAACACCATGTTCCGTCTGGCTTCCAGGCTTGAATCTTCCAGCAATAATGGTAGGCTATTTTCAAGGAAGCTTTTGTAGGCTACCGAATCCAACCTTGACGGCAGTTCAAATGGACCGATAAATTCCATATTGAATATTCCTGACCACATGTTCACACTAAAACGGTGTTGAAATGTCGACGGCCTTGACTGGTGGGGGTTTTCAACAGCCCAAGTATGTAA